CTGGCAACACCTATCTTACACAGTGTGTTTCTTTCTTGAAGCTCACTGGCTGAACCAATGTAACAGAGGTCATTTGGTGTAGAGTCTGTTCTGTTCAGTATGTCAGGTAGGAGGCCAACAAATCTGCCCTGAAATGCTGAAGGACCTGCTCTTTCAAAATATATAGTGTTTGAATCAGTCTTTCCATAAAAGCCTGTTAAGTGTTATTGATTTAGCAATGCATCAGTGGGCTGTCTTCTCCGCTCACTCCGCGTTCTCTTGCCCGCTCTTGCTCTCTGCTTTCATATCACCAAAGAAATAAAAAGAATCAGCTAATTATACCACCAATAGGATTTATGCAACCGAACTGGATGTTGTCAGAATATCATTTTCAACGGCTGTAAAACTCATAACACATTTTTAAAGATAGTACACATATTGTTTTTAGTTAGTATATTGTCAATATATGTGCCTCTGTGGTGGGATCTCAATAAACACACACACCATGGCTGGAGACACTCTCTATATGCTGCTTTTGAGAAGTGTTATTTATTGGCTTGTGAGATCGCATCAGGCCTGGATGGCAATGCTGTCATGCCAGGAGAGACATGTTTCATAGTGTGTAATAAATCCAAATAAACAGCATGTTCCCCTACACCTGATAAAAGTAATATTTCTTTGTTGTTTTTTTTGGTTTTTTTGGATGGAGACACCTGCCGTTCAGGCACAGATATCTCTGATCTTTGTCCAACTATAAGTAACTTTTAGTCACAAATCCCTTTTTTTAAAGTATAGCTTTAGTTAGGAGGGAGCACTGAAGCACAAAACACATGAACGTTAACTGCAGGTCTGTGACAGGATGCTAACTCGGCTTTCCTGCACCAAAGGTTTGGTATGCTACATAACCATTAACCACCTCGACCACCACACCCTTACTTTAAACCTTGCTATACTACTTCCAGCACACTTCCTGCGTTGGCATGGGACGTTTTTTTCGTCAATTTTGAAGTACAAAATCACCAAATATGGCCTGAAGACCTAAGATATTGGACTGTAGGGAGGAGCGAGTATACCATTATCTGTATCTGTTTATCCAACTAAATGATCTGTATTTGTATCCTTACCCTGAATGGTGGTAATTAAACGAAGTGGTTGGGGCTAGCTAGAAATTGTTAATTTTACCGAGAAATTCATATCGGTTAATCAGAAGTCTTTATATTTATTGGAAAACTATTTACAGAATTAATCGTCAGAGCAATGGTTTTTTTTTTGATGAAATGATTTTAGGCGAGAAATATTCAACAGAATCTTGATCCATATTTGATCAGCACTGCCTAGTTTGACAGTTTGATCTGAGTTTCGTACATTGAGCTGGACAGACTCCCTGAGGATGACCTGTCAATCACAAGGTAGGTACACCCTAAAGTATACCCTGCTTTATCATCTATTTTACTCTAAATTGTACCATCATTTACAAAATGAACATCATGCTGTATTGAAGAAGACTTGAACCTAGCAATTGAGACCATAAACTCATTAGGAAACCATTTACTGAGCTAATAAATCAAGTGAGAAGTCAGGTAATTTCTCCATAAGACTGTATGGCATCTCTGTTTTGTGCAGCCAATGGAGCTGCCCCTTATTGGCCATTAAATAGAATGCATGTTTAAAACATTTACACTTCACAGACCCAGAAGCTCTGTCCACTATATACTATACTGTCAATGGCTCAATCCTACTGGACAGGCTGTTTGGTATCAGCTGCTTCATTCATGCTTCTCTATTCTTATACAGCTGTACAACATGGCCATTATAACCTGATCTTACTATTACTTTGCTAACACATTCATGCCACAGCTCCATTCACCACCTCACATGCCTCCTTATGTGCTAAGTTTGGAATTTATTGATTAAGCTAAGATTTTACATATATGTTGCAGAATTTCTTTTGCGGATCAAGAGCTCCCTCTAAGAGCAGAGCCTTTTCTGGACAATCTAACTGCATAAGCACTTGCTCTAATTGGTCAATTCCTTGACGTAAGTGTCTCTGACTCAACTGACAAATGCCACTAATTGGTAATTCAACCTAATTTGCCACACCTTCATAATACTGTTTGCAAACCTAATGAAGTTATTCAGAATTAAAGTCCTCTACCAGACGGTGATTAGATTTTTTTTGTTTTTGTCTTCCTGCTTCATTCTGTTTGTTTTGCAGCAGCACACTACTGAATCATTACTGTTCCGTATCTGCGACATGTGACAGCTCTGCAAAGGTATTCCTTTTTCCAGGATTTTCCACAGTGCAGCTAAAGGATGACGGTTAAGATTAACGATAACAAAGAGCTTTCTGGTGACTCATCCCAGGACTCCAGGAGTGTTGTTTTTTTTTTCCTCAGCTGTCTCGTCCTCTCCCTGGTTTCTACATCGGTGCCCAACAGAACAGGCTAATTTCTCATCTCCAGTCTTCCCTAGTCATTACTTTTATCCCCCATCACTCTTTTTCCCTCCATCCCCCACTCCTCCTGTCTTCTCCCCAGCCTCCCACTCATCCTCGCCTGCTCTGTCGGGTCCTCCCTTGCTCGTTTTACCATCTCCTCCCCAAGTCTGGTGGTCTGTCTGCCCTGAGTAAATGCTTTAAAAGGGTGCAGTATGACTCAGAACATGTTTCTGGTCACTGTTAACGCATACCAATAGTAGTGGGGCCAGATGGCCGGTGTCTGGGCAGGGAGGAGGACACAAGGGCGTGAAACCAGCAGACAGCGTTACTGGGAGCAAAGGGCTTTAGAGGAGCAAAGTTAGGGCTTCATAGAGAATAAAAATACATACAATTTCTATGAATTGAATATTATAAAATGCTTTATAAACTAGTTTATGTCCCAGTTTTTGAGGGTGTGCAAAGAAGGTCATTATGTCAATTGTATCTCCAGACTGTCGGTTTATACCTGTTTACACACATTTTTATTGCTGAAATGTTTGGGTTGTACCACACTGACATTAAGACACTGATATTGATATATTCATTGGCACTAATATATTTATGATCACAGGGTGAAATTGCCCTTTACTGAGACATGATTGTGTTTCTAATGATACTAACTAAGGCTTTCTTGTGTAACAGCATTAAAGCAGACTATTCTAATAGGGGTGGCCAGACTGAGGCCATTACTCACCTTGGAGTGGCACAGAAATAGGTGTCCTTCTAACACTGGACAGAGGTTAGATTATGATGATCGTTTGCTTATGACCAAAATGTGTGTATCTAAAATAAGCCCCTGATAGTCTTGTGGATGAGCAGGCAATAAGAGAGACACAGCGCCGTTTTACTTGTCATCATCATCAGCTTTCACTACTTTTGCTTGTGCTTCCCATTAATTTATATGTGGAACAAAACAAGACAGGTGTGCTGCTAAATAGCGTCCCCAGTGGAGCTGCGGCAGTGGTTCAGCATAAAGAAAAAAATGACCCAAAATATGGCGCTATGTGGGGTGACAAGTGGGGTGGCCCCTGGCTCTGCCTATGCCTTAAAGGAATATTTTGAGATATACTGTGGGAAATATTTGCATTGTTGCTGACAATTAGATGAAAATATTCATACAGGGGCCAAGAAGTACAGTAGGGGTTGATTAGATGGGTTTACCAACCATCAGGTTATGTGCCTAACTATTTTAGCTCATGCGCAGACTTCCTTGGAGTCACTGTGAGGTTGCCAGGCAACCAGGGCAGGAAGTCAGTGCGCACAGTCAAAAAATAGTCTGGCACATAAATCCCCCGTAAAAGCACAACTAATCATTTTCACACTTCAGTTTTACACAGATTAAACAAACAAGATTACATCGTAATTTATGAGCTTGTTGGCAGATTTTTACCTTTGGAGCAAAGCCATGTAAGCTTTTTCCCCCTTTATGCTAAGCTAACTGGCTGCTGGCTGAAGCTTCATACTTAAAACGGAAGTGGTGTTGATCTATCCCTTGGCAAGAAAGCGAAAAGGCGCATTTCCCATATGTCAAACTATAGTCCTTTAAACTAGAATTGATTGTTGTTGTGAATGAACCGCTCTCCCTCAAA